GGGGGGGGGGGGGGGGGGGGGGGGGGGTGTCTGTAAGCGGTCCTTCGGCAGACAGGCAGCGTGGTGGCCAGAGGGAACAGCCCTCTAGTGGCCACATATCGTTACCTTCCGGCCAACGAATCACAAGCGCCATGTGAAATCAAAATTTCCGCCGCCATTTATTTTTTTACAGAGAAATTGTTGGTTGAATCTGTTTGAAAATTTCACTGATTTTTATCGGCAACGCAAAGAACGTTCGGTGAAATTTTCGGTCAGCTTCGTTGAACAATTGGACTGCATTTTGCAATTTGGACCTATAAATTCCGGCCCGGTTTAAAAACAATGTATGTGCCATTAGTTTCCTTATGCACATAAGTGTTTTTCCAGATGAGCCAGAATTTATAGGTCCAAATTGCAACATGCAGTCCAATTTCTCTGTAAAAAATAAAATGGCGGTGGGAATTTTGATACGTCGCATGGCGCCTGTGATACCTTGGCCAGAAGGTGACGATATATTTGTTTCTCACTTTTTTCTACGAAGACTTGCCGACTTCGGGAGTCAATCACAGCAACTATTCGCCGACTGTACGGGCTCGAAGACGGCGGCGCGGCGCGCGGCGGTTCGGAATGATCGAGCGTCGAGCCGGATGGTGTGCCAAATTAAATTAACCTGGATTTTCATTCTCTCCATTCCTGCGCCACCCACGTCCCGTGACTCCACGATTTTGTCCGAAATTAAGGGCCCTCGATGAGGCCATGAACGTCCGATACGACGACGCCTCGTTTCCACATCCGAACGCATCCATCAAGAGGAACCGATCGGCTTTTGAGCTGTGCCCAAAAAGGGCGGATCTACGACGCCGTGTCAAAGAAGAACATCGCTAGTAGCAACAACTGTTGAAGGGGGGAGGGGGGGGCTCGTAAATTTTAAAAAAGCAGCTCTTGAAAAACTACGGAAATAGTCGTTGTGAAACATCCCTAATTTTAGATTCACATTTGCGAGCGGTAAAATTTAAGTAGGAAAAAGTTAGAAAACTTGAAGTTTCAACTGTATAATTTGTGAAGGAAGACTAAAATCGATTGAAAAATGTTAAAAATTAGTAAAAAAAATAGCCTTTTATTAGAAAAAAAAACTTTTTTACAAAATTCTTCCATAGAGAAGTAAATTTCACCAAGAGTTAAATATGACTTGAAAAATAGCCAATAGGGGTCGCTCCCTTGTTTTTCCGCGTATTTTTCATTTCGTGATGAACCTTTGTGTTTCTTGGTTTTCCCAGGTACCAGGCAACATTTACTGTACCTTAAACTGATTAATGTGTAGGTAATCGATCACGTGAATCAATTAAAAAATTCCAAGCACCATAATTTTGTCAAAAGGTCGGAAAATGCGTTTCTCCGATTCTGTCATCGCAAATCTCCGCTTGTCTTTCATTTTATTTTTGTTAAATAGAGAACTTAACGAGCGATTTTTCTGAAATTTTTTGGAAATAAGTCTCTCCACACGCTCTGGTAAAATATTTACGGGAACTTTCAAAGTATATTTTGCTTGTTCACTTTAAAAATACTGAAACACGATCGGCGAATTTTAAGCGTTGCAATTAGGATGCACATTTTTCGATTTTAACCATCGATATTTGATGACGTGAATCAATTAGAAAAATGCTATGCTGATCAGCGTGCTTGATAAAATTTTTCTGAAACCCAGTGACACAGTAATAGATTGTGGACTTTAAAAATAGCCATCGACAAGCAAGAAGTGACGATGTAGTGAGAGGCAGCACATTTGTCAGTTTTTCACTTTTTCACGCGCTCTGGTAGCCTTCCGCTATAAATAGCGCGTGGATGGGTGGATCTAGGAGAGGAAATATTTGGCATTGATGGGCCGGAATGGGTCCAAGAGCGAGTCTGTTTTCCCCGCCGGTTTCGACTCGATATCGGAAAGCTCTACGACCGTTATATGAAACGGAGTTCGCGGTTTTCTATGATCGAACGATTCGGCTCTTCAAAACCGAACTTTCGACCGAACCCTCATTTTCAGTTTGGTTCATAAATTGGATCACATAGACCGAAAATTTGATTCATGTAACTGAATCTTCATTTTCAGTTCATAAAGCTTAGTTCACACTATCAAACTTTTCAGCCGAGATAATTGAATGAAAAGTTAGATGGAAAGTTGAACGCAAAAAAGTTTGATTCAAATACTCTCCGTTCAAATTTCCACCCAATTAGCGCCGCCAGTGAAAGTTGAACGAAAAGTTGGATGTGACGTCACATTCAAGTTTCCGTTCAATTTCCATCAAATTGACGTTTTCTAGCGTCAGTATCGCACTGCCCAACTTTTCATGACGACAACTTGCATTCAAGAGTTGAATGAAAAGTTTGACGGGGTGAGTTGGGCTTAAGTTGGATCACATGAACTGAAAATTTTGATTTGAAAAACCGAAAGGTATTAGAGCCTACTTGAATGCATGTCTTCCTCGGTAACCACCGTAATTTACGAAAACCGCAGTGCGGATGAATTGAAGCGTAATAAAAGTAATTGGTAATATTCAAAATGACAATGATCTTGATTGAATCAATCTCTCGAGATATGAATGAAGTGGCTGAACTATTTGACCCCTTGAAATTGTTAGGTCTAGTAGATTGGCCGTCTAGAGATGTGACGGTCTATTTTAAAAAAATATTTACGTTTTAGTCAACAGAAAAAGGGCACGGTTTCGTGAACTCCAAAAAATGCGCGTTGGCACTGGTTACGTGCATGTGCAGCATCACTGTAACTAACATAGTCAAATTTTCAGGGAAAACAAATAACGAGCAGTATCGTATTGTTAATGATTTATCTCAAAATAAATAGGTAACAAAATTATTATACAGTTTAAATTAAATTTAAACGAGTTTGTAGGGATAGGTATATGCAAATCAAAAAACTGACCAGTTTCCCTGGTCGTTTTCGAATAGAATGAATGTTCGCAACACTGAGAATGCAAATCAGTACAAACAAGAAACTCAAATTGAGTTATAAAAAAAAGAGTAGCAAGAATAAAGTTCCTTAAAATAAAAGAAACAGGCACTTAAAACAGCAAACGAGAAAAAATAAAAATCTGTGAATGCATGGCTTGCCGTTGCGAACATATCTGGGGCGCAGATATTATCGGATGTAGACAAATTTTGGAATTGGCAAATATTTACAACCATTTGAACATGTGATTAAATCAGGCTAAAAAAATAGATATAAATACTGTGAAAATAAAGTCAAAGCTGAGCAGCAGCTGCGCTTCAATGAGACCTTAATTCAAGTTTTTGTAGTTTAATGGCAAAAAAATCTTCCAAAATAAACCTGGCAAAGAAAGTAAAGGAGTTGCTACAACAACCTCGAGTATCTTGATTGGCCAAGAGATGACTTAGTTCAATGTTGACTATTAATACTCAGCTCAGAAGTTAAACTAATTCAGCTATTTTAGTCACTTATGAGACACTTAAGTACATTGCATTTAAAAAAATGTAACAAAATAAAATATAAAAATTAAACAGCTAGATACATAGATAAATTTGTCACCAAAAAAGCAAACTGCAAAATATCTAGGTACACCGGTCCAGGTCAAGGAATCTGGGGAAAATTTCAGACGGCAGTACAAATTTTCCAATTAGGCAGGCGTAAAGCCGATAATCTCAATCAGCGAGGGGAAAAATTTAAGGCAGTTTCGTTTGTATTAAATTGTTAAAAATGTCACTATAAAACGTTTCCAACACGAGCGGCAAAATTTTGTAAAAATGTTTTAAAAATGTTTAAACTAACCGTCAGAAAATTTACCCAGAAATTTTTCCAAGTCAATTTTTGTGTGTGCGTGGCTTTAGCTTTAATGTTGAAATTGCGACCCACCCCTGCATGTACATTTTTGGAAGCAAAACACTTCAAGAAACTAGATATGAAAAAGTATCTTGAAGTTTTTTAACTCCTGAAATTTTTCAAATTATTCGATCTCTTCAGATTGACAACGATCATTTCAGGTAAAAAACAAAAAAGAAGAATAAGAAGAAGTAAAAATAAATGGAAAAAATTAAATATCAGAATCCGAAAAAACTGTAGTATTTCGAATTCTTGAATTTAGGAAAATAAATAATTGGCGTAAATTTATGAGAGAGTTATGGTTTCGGGCTACACACGCGGACCGAAAGCTCCCTTTCTCGTCAGATAAAAATGCTTTCATGCAGGGATGGGTTGATCGGTAGGTACGACTTGACTGGTTTTGTGTTGGACTTAGAGTGGTTCGTGTTTAGTGGTGGGCGATGGGCACCAGTTTCTCGGGGGCTCCGAGGGCGGGAAGAGGAGCCTCCACGGTGAGGACACCGTCTTTGCTCAACGATGACTTGATGCTTTCCGGGTTGGTGCCCTTCGGCAGCAGGAACTCACGGTTGTATTCCCTGTAGACGGATTTTGAGTCTGTCTTTTCTTCGTGTTTCGCGTGAACCTGAAACAAAAGAGAGGGACGAAATTTTATGGAATGTCCAAACCGTAAGGAGGAAATGCCTCTTGGAGGTCCTACAGGGTTATTCAAAAGTCCCGCACCACTGGCCATAACTTCAGTTCTAATTATGATATCGATTTGCGGTTTGAGACGTTTTTTTTCAAAGAGAGGGAAACTTTTTCAGGTTCTTTCCAGTTTTTGATGCCCTCGAAGGGAGGAGGGGCGGGGGGCAACTCAAAAATTTCAAATGGCCAGTGGCCACCCCTCTCATGGCCAGTTGTGCGTGACTTTTGAATAACCCTGTATATACGAGGAAAGTTCTGCCATGCTAAGGAAGAACGCCGTATGAACCTTCAGACGTTGTCAAATTCCCTCTAATAAAAACCGAATTTACTGGAAAAATTGCGAATATTATTTTCCAAAATTTTCAGACAACTTTTTACGCAATGTAAACCTGAAAATTTCAAGGAAAAATATGCATGAATATTCTCAAAAATACATATTTTGTCAAGGGATATTTGGCAACTCTCGAAGGTTCATACTGCGTTCTTCCTTAGCATGGCAGAATATGTATAGGTACTTCAGTTACTGTGGTTGTTCCTGACCCTTGCAACCCTGCCCCGATAAACCAACCGTATTTTTCCCCCGTCCTTAATGACGTCCAAACAACCTTCCACGGCCCCAGACGAGGCTGCGAGACATTGTTTCCAAACTGAGCAGAAGATTTAGCACAGCTCATCCATTTAATTCAGAGTAAAATACATCCGCGTTATATCAAATAGCCGACAGCCTTGCCACGAGACAAGTGAAAAAAGCACTTCGGGGATCGATAGCGTTGCTAGGACGTGGGGAAGATACATAAACTGCCCCAAATATTCGGGACGTCGTTGAAACTTTTTCCCAAAGGTCAGGTCGATAATAATTTGCAGGGACATTAAGCCGGTGAAGGAGGTCGTAAGTTTCATCGAAAAGGCGGCCTAATTAGTCTGCGTATTGATTACCAGGGGAGGGAGACAGCGATAAGTAGGGCGGTTTTAATGGAACACTCTATACAGCCCAACCAACATCTACAGTTAGGACTAAATTATAAAGGCAATATTGGATACATTTTGGCGCAAATTCTTAAATTTATTGACGAGATACCTATTCTGACGATATTGAGCCAGCCCTGAATTGAAACGATGGTATCAACCTATTAATTGCTAATTTACTAACTTCATCCAATTTCTTACGTATGAGAAGCAGTTGGAAATGTTTTCCCTGGTAAAAATTGGCAGTAGAATCTGTGTTCCAAAATACCATAGACCTACAGCCGGCTGTAAGATTTCCAATAGCTTCTATAGCCGGCTACACAATTTCTTATAGCCTTTTATAGCCGATGGCGATTGAGCAACAGCCTGGCGATAAAGTGTATGCTAAACGTTACTAATTAATTACGGATGCTAGGACTTAGTGAGTTTTTGGAATACTGCTCTCTTTTTGAGCCGTAGTATCTTGATTTATTTTGTGAGGAAAGCTCCGCACTTTTGAAGGATGTCTGCCATTCCTAATATGTAGGAGCGCCTGCAATTTCGTATGATACTGTGCAATACCTCTGGTGTGAAATAGTTGCTTCAAGCGCCGTGGTACGCTGCGACGCGGAGCGGCGGGCGGGCAGCCAGCGTGAAACACGCATTAGCGCCTACAAACCTAACAGGGATACTTCACGCATTGCGCAATGCGTGAAGTATCCCTGTTAGGTTTGTAGGCGCCAGTGCGCCGCCGCTCCGCTTTGTGTCAGGCTCTAATATTTAATCTCGTGGAGTCAGCGTTTTTCAACTCATGACTTTGAAATGTTTGCACACTCTGTATGGATAATTCTCATTTTAATTGATGAAAAAAAAATATGTAGTAAAGGAAAATATAATGTGTGTTTTGTAAATATTAAGGTGAGTCCGTACAAACTTAAGGATTTACAAAGCACACGAATTTCTACTCAATTTCTTGTAGCCTTTTGTAGCCGATGACGAAAAAGCAACAGCCAGACGATAAAGTGTAAAGCCCGGCGATAGGAACTATAGCCCGGCTGTATAATTTGTTATTGCTTCGTGTAGCCCGGCCGTATGATTTTTTCCACTTTCTACAGCCAGCTATATGATTTTCTATCGCCTTCTTCAGTCGGCTATAAGAACTCCTATGGTATTTTGAAACGCAGCTCCTATCGCCAATTATTACCAGGGTCATGTTTCCACCGTATATTGTATGCAAATTTTTGGCATACTCATGTGCCATAGGGTGATGGATTTTTTACCCTCTATATTATTCTACTTTATGAAACTCGGAACTGACCATTTTGATGTGCATTCGTATACGCGTAACCGCGAATTGACAACAAAAATAGGAAATACTACCTACACGCGAAAGAATACGATTACAACTGGACTACATTCCGCAAGGAGTTGCCGGACTCAATTGGACGTATTTCTGCCAAACGGAACTATGTACATTAGGACATGAGCCCTGAGACCCAGAAGAATATATGCATAACAGGGCTCACGTCATAATGCACATAGTTCAGTTTGGCAGAAATACGTCCAATTCAGAAACGACTTACGTGCCATTAGCTCCCATCAGTAGATGAGTGCTTGTTCGGGATAGTGATTCTTCGTTGCAATATGTAGTCCAACTAAACGCTTGGTTCGGAACGATCCGAGGATATTTACATCAGTAATCGCCGATTAAAGATCGTACGGAAAAGGAGATCGATCTCGTAAGTGGGTGGCGACCGAGTTAGGACAAAAACATTGGCGTGGCGTGTCGTGTGGTTTTGCGATCGATGAATCGATTAATCAGACATTTGAACGCATGGAAAAGGATCGAGTATCAGGTTACACCTAAATAATACGCTCTTCAGCATAGATTTAAATGGGAGACGATCGATAGTCTATGATTGGACAAAAACTATGATTCCTGTCGCGCGTCCGGGGAGCCCGAGGAGAGAGGATAAAAAATCGAGGGTCTCAAAATAAAATAAGGAGCTTATGGCTATCCACGAGCGCGAGGTTATGCTATGACTCGGAGCTTTTCAAATAAGGAGAGAGTCTCGCCTATCGTCCGTTTAACATAAAAATACGCGAGGTGAGGCGAACGGATCGCTAGCATCGGATCCAGATAGACTGCCGCGTTAGGAAAGAACGGCTTATGAGCATTCGGACGCCGCAAAATTTCCCCCAATGCAATGGATGATTTTTCGATGATTTATGGATATTTTCTGCTGAATGTTCAGGAATGTTAGATTAAATGAACTAAATATTGCAAGACAGAACTCAATTACAGACCGAGCTCAATTACAGACCGAGCTCAATTACAGACAGAACTTAATTTAGACTCATTTTAGAAACGACGTATGTGCTCTTAACGTTCCTATGCAAACAAACACTTCTTCCTCTTCCTCCTCCCCTACCTCCCCTACCTCTCCTTACTTTTTTACTATTCCCTCCTTGATTTCCTCTTTTCTTCTTCATCTTCGCCATCCTTCTTTTTCTTCTGCTTTCCTTCTTTATCTTTCCTATTTGTCTTCTGTTTCTTCCCCCTTTTGGTTACTTTCCTTTTCTTACTCTTTTCTCCTCTATTATACTTCTTCTGCCTTTCGGTATTTTCCTCTCCCTTCTTTCTCTTCCTCTTCTTTGGCTCATTTTTCTACTCTCTTTTCTTCGGTTTCTTCTTCATCCTCTTTCTGTTTTCTTTCTTCTTCCTCCTTTTCAAATTTAAAGTTTCTTTAGCAGATAGGTGTTTTTATCCATGAGCCAAAAAAGTAGTTTTCAATTGCAATATTTATTCCAAATAACAAGTGGAATTCTCTGAAAAATTCAAAGACAAAGATTCACGAGTTCGCTGGAAAATTTACGGCTTTCTACTAGAAGGAACAATGCTTACATGCTATTTATGCCGACAAATATAATTCATTTGCATGTAGTTCCTTTCAGCATAAACAGAAATACATATAGTCCTGGCATCTGAGAATCCAACACAAATTTAAATGAAACTCGCCTGGTTATGACAGATGAATGTCGGGGTGAGCACTTTGCTATGCAATTTTTTGAAATTTAGTTTAGGATTGCTGAACTTTTTTAAGATCATGTCTAAGCGCATTTAAAGCGTTGACTTTCAAAAGTAACTTGTACACCGTGTTGAAGATGGCAGTTTGGGGCCTCTAAAATACATTGTCTTTTGGTTGAATCGAAAATGATACAACGTAGCATGACGCACTCACCATAAAATCTAACATCGCCGTCGACTAAAGTTCTGTCTAATGGGACCCACGCCTGCCGACAAGAGGCCGAAAAGTGGAGTCGACAATGGCGACTGCACGACGACAATATAGACGCAGATGTAAAAACCGCGGATTTCTCGTAAGCTTTGTATTGCAGTTGCGAGGTTCTCAAGTAAAAAGAGCACAATACGTGGATAATTGCTCGAGTGGCAGTGAAGCTGCGAGCCTTGCAAGAGTGCTCTACCATGCTTAAGAAAAACGCCGTAAATACGTTCAAATGTTGCCAGATTTTAATTAGCAAAACATTCAATGGAGAATTTGCACGCAATTTTTTTATTGCTTCATCTGAAAGTGCCTAATGAGCTGAGTTCGCAACATTTTTCATAATTTTTTTCTGACATGGGAAATTGGAGGAAAATTGATTTAAAAGTGAGAAAATGCGCCGCCTTGTGACGTCATCTGGCGGCATTTCCCATTTAAACNTTCTGCTTTCCTTCTTTATCTTTCCTATTTGTCTTCGTTTGCTTCCCCCTTTTGGTTACTTTCCTTTTCTCCCTCTATTCTCCTCTGCTATACTTCTTCTTCCTTTCGGTATTTTCCTCTCCCTTCTTTCTCTTCCTCTTCTTTGGTTTCTTTTTTTCTCTCTTTTCTTCGGTTTCTTCTTCAACCTTCCTCTGTTTTTTCTCTTCTTCCTCCTTTTACAATTTGATTTTTCTTTAGCAGATAGGTGTTTTTATCCATGAGCCTAATAAGTAGTTTTCAATTGCAATATGTATTCCAAATAACAAGTGGAATTCTCTGAAAAATTCAAAGACAAAGTTTCACGAGTTTGCTGGAAAATTTACGTCTTTCTGCTAGAAGGAACAATTTTTACGTGCTATTTATTTCGATTAATAAAATTCATTTGTAGTTCCTTTCAGCATAAAAAGAAATACATATCGATGGTGAAACTACCAAACCACGTATCTCGTTTGCGGTGTCTAAAAATCTCCGCTCTCATTTTATTTTTCTGGAGGAGAACAATTCAATATCATTCCTTGAAGTTTTTACAGAATTTTCTTCGCACTGAGAAGAAAAATCACGGAAATTTTCAAGAATTGACGTTGAGTACTTTCCCATTTAAAAAGTAAAGTATGGCAGGAAGTCTGCGACGTCGCAAACCGAGATACGTGGTTTGGTAGTTTCACCGTCGATATAGTCCCGGCATCTGCCAATCCAACAAAAACTTAAATGAAATTCGCCTGGCCATGACAAATGAATGTCGGGGTGAGCACTTTGCTATGTAATTTTTTGAAATTTAGTTAAGGATTGCTGAACTTTTTTAAGATCATGTGTACGCACATTTAAGCGTTGAATTTCAAAAGTAACTTGTACACCGTATGGAAGATGGCAGTTTGAGGCCTCTAAAATACGTTGTCTCTTGGTTGAATTGAACCTCAACGTAACAACGTAGCATGACGCACTCACTATAAATTCTTCCATCGCTGTCAACAAAAATTCTGTCTAATGGGACCCACGCCTGTCGACAAGAGCCCGAAAAGTGGAGTCGACAATGGCGACTGGCCGATGAAAATAGACGCAGATGTAAAAACCGCGGATTTCTCGTAAGCTTTGTATTCAAGTTACGAGGTTCTCAAGAAAAAAGAGCACAATACGTGGATAATTGCTCGAGTGGCAGTGAAGCTGCGAGCCTTGCAAGAGTGCTCTACCATGCTAAAGAAAAACGCCGTAAAAACGTTCAAATGTTGCCAGATTTTAATTAGCAAAACATTCAATTCCTAGAGAACATAAGAATATTATCCCTTCAAATTTTCAGGTACGATAGAGATGATGCAATTTTAAATTTTTAAACGATTTGGGACCAAAAAATTGCCGATTTTCCAGGAGATTCGTGTTTCATTAGAATAAGTTTGGCAAGGCAGGGGTGTGGATACGGCGTTCTTGGTTGGCACGGGAGTGTTGCTGTTCTGCCTTTTAAGGCTGGACAAGGTGTACCGGGCCGGTGGTGAGGAAGGCTGCTTGGCGGTAGACAAGGTAACCTACACACTCCGGACGGAAATGGCCATTAATTGGTTCGCGGGCGCGGGGTTTTATGATTGCGCAAAAGGCAGCCGCTTCCCGGACGTCGCCGACACGTCACGCACGGTGGGACACGATTGGCCGAATACCACGGAAATCGGAAAAATCTGCCCACGATCCAGGGAAAAGCGTTAGGAGTTAGCCCCTAACATTGTGGTGTACTATCCCAAAATTATGGATGAAATGGGCATTTCTAATTCACGGTGTCTAGCAATTTTCAAAGAAAAAAAATATCCCTGACATTTCCCTGATTTTCCTGGTTTCCCTGACAAAAAATGCCAAAAACGGGGGAAAATTCAAAATTCCCTGACGGACGGAAAAAATTATTCCCTGACATTTCCGTGATAGAGAAGAAAAAATTCCCAATTTTTCAACACGTTGGAACTAATTAGGAGTAAGTATTTCGTGTACAAGGAATATAATGTAATAAATAGAGCAAAATGTATGATGCCTAAACTTATGAGAGATATTTTTGCCTCATTTTATAAAATTTAAAAGACATCAGCAGAAATTCTGGCAGTTTCCGCAGGAGTAAAATTTGTGAAACATTTTCCAGAAAATCCATGTTTTACGATTTCTCTTACGTTTCCCTGACACGAGAATTGCTTTGAAGGATAAAATTCCCTGGCATGCCGAATTTTTGCGGATTCCCGGATGTTTTCCCTGTTTTTCTTGAGATTCCCCGGTTCTTCTTGACGCACATCCTGCAAATAATTGTGATAGTACCGGAACTCAAGTTGAACCGCCAAGGTAAATCCCTAGAAACCCCTATTTCGACGTAAAAATTCGATTATTTGACCAAAACTAGTGAAAAATGTTTGAGACCCGTCTAAAAAGTAGATACTCACTAATAATTTGTTGTCGACTGTTTTGACGATGATTTCTTCTGGTTGGTACTGGCTGACGTCGAACCTCAGCTTGAGCATTTTGTTGTCGCCATCTTCCTGGATGAGGGGGGAGTTGATGCTTTCTAGCCACAGGTTGGGTTTTGGCTCACTGAGTGTGTTGTTTGAGTTTGAGGTGATTGAGTTGGTCGAGCTGCAACACAAAAGGAAAGCAGAACCGATTAATTTTTTGTCCCTCTTTTACACATAACTTTTCATGTTTATTGAACAGCTTGCACAAAGCGCCGAGAAGCTTAAAAACTTAAAAAGTTGGGTGATCGCGGTGCCAAGCGGTACCAATTCCGAATAATGCGAGTTCAATTGAAATGCGATTCGTTCAGCTGAAGTATCATACTCTTAGAGGGTCCAGGCGAGGGCATTGGATCCTTAGCGTCTACGAACTGTTGGCTCCGGCCTGGTTGGCATCCCAAGGCTGTGACGCATTGATGCGAGATGTCCGTCGCACAACAGCCGCATTCCGACAGCATACCCAACAAATCGTCAGAATTCACCAACCCGAATTTCATCTAATTCCCAGCTGTATAATACAATCACAGGGAGAGTATGGACCGCTGGACAGGGCCCGAATTTTTTCGGCAGTCCAAACCGTGCCACCAGCCAATCAGAGGCGCTAAGACGGATTTAAGTGCAATCGTGATTCGGGCCGACAAATTCGGCCACTGGGCACGAATTTAAGCATTCTGATGTATGTATGACGCCACCTCAAAATTTCACGTGGAATAGGATTCGCGCAAAGAAAGAATTTTTCAAGGCGCAAAGTCTCGGTTAATATGCAACGTAAAAAGCTGCTGTTTGGACCGATCTTATTATTCTTAGTTGATCTGCAATAATAAAGTACCATAACACGATTCTGTGAACAGCGCAACTGACCCATTCTAAACGCGTAATTTTCGAGATAGCAAACACTGCACTTGTGCGCCTTATCCTCCAAGTCCCTCAATGGAGATACCGTTCCTGTTGCTTAATTTCATGCACTCGGATGGAGCATTCTCATTCGAAACTCCCCAGATTGGCCTGTTGCGAGTGGCCACAGCCCATAAATCAAGGGACTTGGGCATGTTGCTGGGTCATTGGGCGGGGGTCTTGGAAGCCGACGGCATCGGCGAAGTCTCTGCGGACGATATTACGATGGTCGCGGAGAATCTGTATCTATTCTGGGCATGTTTAGGTGCCGATCTTGGCCGACGTCGTCGCCTGCGTCTCCATGTTCGGCTCGGGGACCGAGCCGAGATGAGGAGGACTATGGCGAGACCTGGAGGACTGGTTGTTGCGCGGCCGATGCCGATCACTGTTCCGACCGGGCGGAGGAGGACAGGTTCGACCCACGACTTTGGTGTCACAGTGTGCTACACAAGCCTCCGGTCGTTCACGAATCAGTCATCAAAGTTTCAGATGCGTTCGCAATCATCGAGGATCACTGTTGCCCTACCGTGGAGGAACCATGATCGAACTTCCACAAGTTCCAAAATGAATCAGTGAGAACGATACCACAATTACCGCACACTGGGGGAAAAAAACACATTGGATCTAGAGTCCAGACTCTTGAAAACATTGACAAGAAAAAAGACTCTTGATTCAAGCAGATTTAAGCTTAAATCAAAAGGGAATCCGCTCAAATTAAGAGACTTGGTTCTTGATTTAAGCAAAAATCCGATTGAATAAAGAGTATTTTTTCTTGTCGATGTTTTTAAGAGTCTGGACTCTAGATCCAATGTGTTTTTTTCCAGTGCACCACCTCGGTACCTCAAAAATGCTCAATTTTCAATAAAGAGAGTCAGAGTTCATAGAGGTCATCTGGGTCGACGCATCTGTTCCAACTTGGACCTTTAAAGTGTCATTAAGCACTTATCTTTCGGCACCAAAGGTCTTTTTCTGGTACTAACTTCTTCAACTGCTGTGCAGTTTTGCGTGTCTTGATTATTTTCATTTTTTCAAGTTGGTGTGTTATCGTTCTCACTGATTCAAATGTACTTCGGGGTGGGAAACTTTTTGGGATTTTAAAATTCCCCAACTTTTCAGGGTTTCTAAACATACNAAGGGGGGCGGACTCACCGGACGAAACTCACATTCAAATTTTAATTCTGACAAATAAACTTTCTGGGCTATAAAGGTAAAACGTCAAATGTATTCTACTTATTAGACGCCTGCATTCCTCAATGAACGATCATTACAAATAGCTCCCTCCACAGGTATATAAATTACTGATGTGCCTTCTATTCACTGTAAGCGGATCAAACATTCCACCACAATGTTCACATCCAAGAGTTAATGCCACCCTACGAGAATAAGGACCACCGATCAAAAGATATCTTAGACGCGCATGGATGGACTTGGTCAAAATTAACCTAACTGCATTTGATGTTGCCTTATTTTTTCTCGTTTTTTATTTTATTGACGGAGGACTTAGCAGTAGAATGTTTCGGAACCTTTTGAAAATTCGGTTAGATAATAAGCTCACGAAATTTTAAGTTAGAATGTTGCTTAATTTTCAACACAAAAAATTAAAAACGAGAGGAAATTAGACAACGTCTGATGTTGTTGGGCCAGTTTTGGTTAAATTCTCCTTATAATAAAACGTGTAGCAGCACCGATATTAAGACATTGCCTTCATCAGGAAGCAGCCGCTGTTCATATGCATTACAAGTATAATACATGAAAGAACTCATCAATATAGGAGTTTAAAGCAGAGCTACAAGTTTACTGGATGAATGGAATTGAAGTTGGGAATAAAAATTGTTTAGTGGTCGAATCGTGTGACATTTAAACGTTTTGTTCCAGATCATAGGGCCTTCTTTTCTGAAATTTATTTCACAGTCTCGAGTTTAAATTTTTGCTACTGATCGGTCGATGCGCTATTTCGAATATGAGAAAGGGACCAGTGAAATTTCTACAGACACCGATAAAAATAATCTTTTTCTTCGAAAATAGTAAAAAAAATAGCAAGATAGCAGTGAGATAGAAAAAAATGCGAGTGTTCTACTGCCTCCGACCAATCGTGAACGAACGGGAAAAATTTTCCGAAAAAACGAGTGACGATGCAAAACAAATCGAGAGGAAATGCAAAGCAGAGTGCATTCAGCATGCATTGTCCCGTAGACAAAGTAACGAGCGTTTGCATACACAATGGCGACAGACAGAAGCACTTGCGTTAGCGGATTCCCCACCCTCTCTGGCGCCTAAAAAATTAGATTCCCGTTGTCACACTGAAAAAAAACACATTAGATCTAGAGTCCAGATTCATAAAAACATCGACAAGAAAAAATACTCTTGGTTCAATCAGAATCCAGCTTAAATCAAGAACCAGGCCTCTTAATTTAAGCGGATTTCCTTTGGATTAAAGCAAAAATCCGATTGAATCAATAGTATTTTTTCTTGTCAATCTTTTCAAGAGACTGGACTCTAGATCCAATGTGTTTTTTTCCAGTGCAAGATTGAAACATTTTCAATCAAACATCGTATGGATAAGTCTTCTGTCATAACCAAATTATCGTGTTGTTGGCTCTTGATGTGAAAAAAAAATAACCCGATGGAAACATAAAGAGTGGAGTTCCTAGGTTTCTAACTTTCCTGATTTTTTTCTGAATCTAGTTTTGGGAAAAAGCACTGGGGAAAAAACACATTGGATCTAGAGTCCAGACTCCTAAAAACATCGACAAGAAAAAGTACTCTTGATTCAATCGGATTTAAGCTTAAATCAAGAACCAACCCTCTTAATTTGAGCGGATTTCCTTTTGATTTAAGCTTAAATCTGATCGAATCAAGAGTTCATTTTCTTGTCAATATTTTCAAGAGTCTGGACTCTAAATCCACTGTGTTTTTTTTCCAGTGTGTAGTTCCTAGGTTTCTAACTTTCCTGATCTTCTCTTGAATCTAGTTTTGGGAAAAAGAGAATAAAATGCACAAATGGCAACAGTGCGTTGAATCAGCGAATGCGGCGGCGTCGCGACGCAAAGGCGACAGACATGACGAGAGACGCGACAGTTGACTATATTTGTAGCACTCCGATGCGAGATGAGTGCGTCATAGAGGTTGTGGGCCTGTAATTGTCATTCGGGTTGAATTATCCACGGATACGTCACTCGGTCAGCGCTGTCAGCCCACGTCACGTGGGTGAAAACACGCGTCGTCGATGCAGATGCCAGCGCTCGACCTGTCAACTTATGGTCGTCTACATCGGCGCCTTAAAGTTCGATCATGCGAGGAGAAAAAAATAAAATAACAAACATTTGGATTGCATTTCTTTCGGAATTTCTGCTCATGTGATAGAATCTATCATTGGTTAAACTGGGAAGGTTCTTGTTTGTGTTAGAAGGCCAAAGACGGTGACTGGCTTAATTAATTAAAATCACTGGAAAAAAAACACATTGGATCTAGAGTCCAGACTCTTGAAAACATTGACAAGAAAAAGGACTCTTGATTCGATCAGATTTATTAAGCTTAAATCAAAAAGAAATCCGCTCAAATTAAGAGGCTTGGTTCTTGATTTAAGCTTAAATCTGATTGAATCAAGAGTATTTTTTCTTGTTGATGTTTTTAAGAGTCTGGACTCTAGATCCAACGTGTTTTTTTTCCAGTGAAGGATATTATCATAATATTTCTTTGAAACTTTATTCATGACCTCGGTGGAGTCTGAAATGTCTAGAAAGACAATGAAATGACATTTTAAAATAAATTAATCATGAGTTTAACTTCACTTCTCTGTTTTAAACTCTCGGTGGTTTATAGTGAGTGGCATTCTCAGACCTTTCATAAAAACATCGACAAGAAAAAATACTCTTGATTCAATCAGAATCTAGCTTAAATCAAGAGCCAAGCCTCTTAATTTAAGCGGATTTCCTCTGGATTCAAGCAAAAATCCGATTGAATCAATAGTATTTTTTCTTGTCAATCTTTTCAAGAGACTGGACTCTAGATCCAATGTGTTTTTTTCCAGTGCAAGATTGAAACATTTTCAATCAAACATCGTATGGATAAGTCTTCTGTCATAACCAAATTATCGAGTTGTTGGCAGTTGAGTGGCATTCTCAGACCTTTCATTCTGGGTCTCACAACAAACTTCATTGCAGGGCCGGATTAAGGGGGTGGCCACATGGGCCGCGGCCCATGGCGGCAAATCTATAGGAGGCGGCAAAT